TTTGACTACCTGCCCCCCCAGTTCTCCCCCGTTGCAGGGATAACTGCTTACCATTTTAGTCACCGTCCTTCCTGTACATAGATACCAACTATGTATCCATAGGAAAATAGTGTATTATTTGGGGATTTTTTCCCCCCTTCACATAAGTGTATTGATCTGCAGTGGCTCTTCCACTGAACAGCCTTGGAGTACTTTACGACTTCGTAAGCAGAGATCACGCTCGCTCTTCGTTGTAGCATGCAGCTGCTGTGGATGGACATTTAGGCTACTTGTAGCTGTTCATTATCATGAATGCTCAGTTTGTAATTTATATTCTGTTTTAAAATTTGTTAATAGGGTACAAAGTTTTAAAGGTACAAAGGGATTTAGGTTATGAAAAGAATGTTCTTTATTACCATTGATTGACACCCCGCCCCCCAGACACCCATTTCCCCCTTGTAAGGGCAGATGCTGTTACCGTTTTCCTGTGCATGTTTCCAGAATCTCCTGTGTAAATACAAGAGTATGCATATATTATTTTACTTTTTCTAAGCACAAGTGAACGAACACACTGCGCACTGTTCTCTGTGTGTTGTCTTCATTTTCCATCTTTTTTTTTTTTTAAATATTTTTTATTGATTTTTTACAGAGAGGAAGGGAGAGGGACAGAGAGCTAGAAACATCGATGAGAGAGAAACATCGATCAGCTGCCTCCTGCACACCCCCCACTGGGGACGTGCCCGCAACCAAGGTACATGCCCTTGACAGGAACCGAACCTGGGACCCCTCAGTCCGCAGGCCGACGCTCTATCCACTGAGCCAAACCGGTTAGGGCTCATTTTCCATCTTGATAATAGTTTCAGAATTATGATTAGAATCATGGGATAAGCATACTGTGATTTATTTATCCAGTCCTCTGTTGATGGGCATTTAAATTGTTTCCAATCGTTTGCTACTATAACCAGTGTGAATGTCCTTTTTGTATATGTTATCATCCTTCTGGATATAGGATTAATTCCCAGAAGTAGGATGGTTAAATCTAAGGGATAATGAGCATATTTATTTTTTCCTTTTCTTTTTTTATTTGTCAATTACAGTTGATATTCAATATTATTTTATATTAGTTTCAGGTATACAGCATATTGGTTAGACATTTATATAACTTAACTGAGCACCCTGATAAGTCTAATACCTAGCACCATGCATAGTAATTACAGTATTATTATTATTATTATTATTATTAACATTTTTATTGATTTCAGAGAGGAAGGGACAGGGAGAGAAATAGAAACATCAATGATGAGAGAGGATCATTGATTGGCTGCCTTCTGCACATCCCCACTGGGGACTGAGTCCGCAACCCAGGCATGTGCCCTGACCAGGAATCAAACTGTGACCTCCTGGTTCATAGTTCGATGCTCAACTACTGAGCCATGTAGGGCAGGCTGAACTTTTTTGTTTTGTTAATCCTCACCAGAGGATATTTTTCCTATTGCTTTTCAGAGAGAGTGGAAGGGAGTTGGGGTGAGGGTGGGGGGTGGGGAGGAGAGAGAGAGAGAGAGAGAGAGAGAGAGAGGAGGAAGAAACATTGACTGGTTTCCTCCTGCAAATGGTGGGGAGTGAACCCGCAATCCAGGTACATGCCCTTGACTGGAAATAGAACCTGCAACCTGCGACCCTTTGGTGTGCGGGTCAACACTCTAACCACTGAGCAACACCAGCTAGGGCAGTATATGGATTAAAAAAAATTTTTTTTTTTCTTCAGCTAAGACAGAGGAGTTGATACATTGTACATGTTACATTCAGCCACACCTGAGAACAGAACCAGTCCAGAATGTCACAGGTCCAGGGCAAAGATCCAGAAGGGACTGTTTTTGTAAGAGCAGGGTGGGTCTCTCAAAAGGCGGTCACGGCGTTCGGATGGCATGTATGTATTTCTAGATCCCGTTGAGAAGTGTAGACAGCAGCATGCAGTCCAGCAGCTTGTGCCGGTGCCCCTGGCCTCTGGCTGCCCTTATTGCTGCTCCTGTGGCTTCACGGTGCACAAGCTTGCGGTGTACTTGGACCTCTGCCTCATCTTCCTCCTCTTGCGCTTCAGCCTGCGCATTCCCTTCTTCCTCCACATGGCTGTCATGGCACAGAGGTTTCTAGGAAATGGCGCTCAGGCCGAGAGCTAAACATTCTTTTGCCTGTGCTTTTCCCAGGCTAGTTGACATCATCTAGTGAGAGGATTTATGTGTATCTGTGTGTAATATATTTATACTTACCTTTTTTTCTGCCTTAATAGTAGCAAAAGCATTTCCTAAGTTATCATAACTTCTTGGAAACCATATTTTCTGAAAAAATTTTTATTATGGTAGAAAATATGTAATATAAAATTTTTGCCATTATAACCATTTTTAAGTATACAGTTCAGTGGCATTAATCACATTCACCATAATTAATTCACCATATTGTATAACCAGCACCACTATCTCAAAAAATTTTCCTTACCCCAAACTGAAACTTGTAACCAAACAATGACTCCCCATTCCCCCTGCCCTCAGCCTCTGGTAACCGCCAATCTACTTTCTGTCTCTATGAATTTGCTATTGTAGATATTTGATGTAAGTGCAATATTTGTCCTTAGTGTCTGGTTTCTTCTTTTTTTAAAAAATATATCTTTATTGATTTCAGAGAGGAAGGAAGAGGGAGAGAGAGATAGAAATATCCATGATGAGAGAGAATCATTGATTGGCTGCCTCCTGCAAGTCCCCCACTGGGCATGTGCCCTTGACCGGAATTGAACCTGGGACCTTTCAGTTCGCAGGCCGACGCTCTATCCACTGAGCCAAACCGGCTAGGGCAGTGTCTGGTTTCTTTTTCTTAGCATAATGTTTTAAAGTTCATCCACGTTGTAGTATGTGCCAGAACTTCATTCCTTTTTATGGCTGATGAGTATTCTATTGTGCGTATGTACCACATTTTATTTTTTATTTTTATTTTTTAATATATTTTATTGATATTTTACAGAGAGGAAGGGAGAGGAATAGAGAGTTAGAAACATCGATGAGAGAGAAACATCGATCAGCTGCCTCCTGCACACCCCCTACTGGGGATGTGCCCGCAACCAAGGTACATGCCCTTGACTGGAATCAAACCTGGGACCCTTCAGTCCACAGGCCGTTGCTCTATCCACTGAGCCAAACCGGTTAGGGCCACATTTTATTTATTTATTTATTTATTTTTTAAAATAGATTTTATTGATTTTTTACAGAGAGGAAGGGAGAGGGATAGAGAGCCAGAAACATCGATGAGAGAGAAACATCGATCAGCTGCCTCCTGCACACTCCCCACTGGGGATGCGCCCGCAACCAAGGTACATGCCCTTGACTGGAATTGAACCTGGGACCCTTGAGTCAGCAGGCCAATGCTCTATCCACTGAGCCAAACCGGTTAGGGCCACATTTTATTTTTATTTAGAAAATATTTTTATTGATTTCAGAGAGAGGAAGGGAGAGGGAGAAAGAGATAGAAACATCAATGATGAGAGAAAATCATTGATTGGCTGCTTCCTGCAGACTCCACACTGGGGACCAAGCCCGCAACCTGGGCCTGTGCCCTGACTGGGAATCCAATGGTGACCTCTGGTTCATAGGTCAACGCTCAACCACTGAGCCACGCCGGCCGGGCTATGTACCACATTTTAGTAACCATCACTTTTACTGGCTCCACAATCCTCCTGTATGTGGATGGGTCCTGGTTTCTTAGCCATTGTCTCCTTTTTGCCCTCACTCAGATAAGCCTCGTAGCAGATATGCTGTCAACAACACTGGAGATCATGCCGAGGACCAGGACGGTGACTCCAGGTAAGGGCTTTGAAGTCACTGTAGGATGGAGCTAGTCCTGCCCCAAAGCCTGTGCAAAGCCCCACCTGCTTTGACCTATGTGTCCCCTGAGAAACCGGGGGTTCTTTTTTCCCATTTGGTGGGTGTTTGGGTAGCATGGAGCAGGGCTGCATAATTTGGTCACATGTTCAGCTGCCAAGCAGGTTGGAGATGAGATGAGGCCATGTTTCTGTAGGTCATTTATCTCCTGTGACGGAACATGGAGGAAAGCACACCCGTGCTGTCCTCAGATCTTATTCCTCAGGCACGGCCCGAGGTCACATGTAGGTGCTTGGGTGCAGTGCAGAGTGTCCAGATGCTGATATGGGCAGAGAGTTGGGGCTGTCTTTTAGGGCACAGATGAAAGCGGGTCTTGTTCCTCCTTGTACGTGCCCCCTTGTTCTCTGTAGGAAGGACTGTCATGCAACATGAGAAATGACCGCTTGTGCCTTCTTATGTTCATTTTAAAGCTTGGTAAGTGGTAACACAGACCCAGATGAGGCAGGAAAGATTGCAAGTTGCCTGTCCTGGTTCCCCTAAACGTAGCCGAGGTCTTTGTGAGCTAAAGAATGTCGCCTCCATGGTCCCATGGAAAAGCTGAGGTCCCCACACTGGGCCTTTCACATGCGAACTGGTTGTACAGTTTCCCTCAGTTCTCTGACAAGGCACCACAGTGTTGTACAGTTCCAAGAATATGGTTTTTATTTTGTGTGTGTGTGAGGATGGCAGGAGCCTCTGGCGTGACCAGTGACTGTCTCTGAAGGGAGCAGGCTTTGGAAAAGGGAACAGCAGGAGGGGCAGGGGAGGTGGGAGGTTGTGGGACATTCAGTGGGTCCTTCTGGTTGACGTAGAGGCCAGTGGTTGTCTTGTCCTTTAAAGGTGGCAACTTGGAACAGACTCCTGTTATAGGCACCCGGAAAGCTTTTGGCCCCTGCACCTGGGTGGGTGGCTTTGTCTTCCGCTGGGCCACAGACTAGTTTAGAGCAGGGCTGGCCAGCTGCCCGATGTTCTTCCTCTAAGCTCCATAGGTGTGAGGCTCTGCTCAGGACATGAAGACTCAGAAAGAGCTCTTGGAATGATCTGTGTAGAGGTATTTTTTTATTTTTTTTAAATTGTTTTATTGCTTAAAGTATTACAAAGGGTATTACATATGTCTCCTTTTTTTCCCTCCCTTGACAATCCCCTGGCCTCCCCTACCCTAGAGGTATTTTTTAGGAGGGCCAGGAGCACATAATTCCTGCAGTTAATTTTCAGAGGCTTATAAGAAAATCACTATGAGGTAATGCCATTGGGTAATGTTAGCACATTATAGCATCTGATGAACCCACCCCCCATCCCCCATATTTTCAGAGATACAGGTTAATACCCTTAGGGCCCCAGCTTTATTTTGTCACATGGGCCTGCCCAGTCGCTGCTCTGCCCCTGGCGGCTGGGAAACCCTGTCATACCTCAGACGTCTTCCTGAAGCACTGCAGTGAAGGTCATCAGACCATTCTCTGTTCTTCTGGATTATCATCCTCAAAGGTGCTTTTCTTCTGGAACCAGCAAGATGTTCCTGCTTGTTAGTTTGCCAGACTGAAACAATGTGAACAGGCCACATGGGTAACTTGTGAATGTGGTGGTGGCCTGCCTTAGAGAAGTGAAGGTGCAGAGCTGTGCTGCCCAGGGTTGAAGTCACTGGCCAATGTGGCCATTTAAATGGAAATGAACTGAAATGAAATAAAATTGAAAATTTATTTCCTTAGTTTTACTTGCCACATTTTAGATGTTCGGTGGCCGCATGTGACTAGTGGATACTGTATTGAATGGCGTAGATTTAGGATATTTCTGTCCCTGAGGAAAGTTCTGTTGGACAACACTGGCTTGGAGAGTAGGCTGGTTTTATAATGCGAATCATCAAGATGATGTGTTTCAGGGTATAAGAATTAGCTGTCACTTTTTAAAAACCCGACTAGAATTTAGAAGGGAGAGAAGAACATAGATATTGTCTGTTGTCTCTAAGTCTTGAAATTGAAGTTGAGAAAAGTTGTAGTGTCCCTGATTGTAGGGTATTAGGAGCCAGGGAGCTCCTGCTTAAGTCCATCTCTGGCTTAATCACCCCACTGGCAGGACAACGCCATCAGGAGAGGTCCGAGAGGAAGCATGGCATCCATCGGAAAGGCTGGTGGGGGCCCACTCCCTCCTGACGTGGATGGCTGTTTCTGGCTTCCTCTAATATTTCCAGCATTGTTCTGGTTACTGCCTCAGAGAAGGCAATGCTGGTGGCTTGGAAGAGTTAACTTCATTTTAAAACACTCTGAATCATTTTACTTTAGATATCACCCCAGAGCTCTGAAAGGTTTCTGTCTCTGCCCTTTACCCCCCCATTGGCATTGTGAGGCATGGAATCAGGTGGCCCTGCTGCCCTTCTCAGACTTGGCTACCTTTCTTGAAGCAGTGGGTCCAGCTTTTAGGCACAGTCATGCCCTGTGCTGGAGGGGGACCTCAGCTGTAGTGCTCATTGGCATCCAGCATGCAAGTCCTCCATACCAGGCACACATGGGCTCCACCAGAACCTCTTTTGACAGCTTTGCTTGGGTGGCACATGTGTTGAGAAAGATGCCCCTACTTGCTGGATTTTAGGTCATACACAGAAATGTGGATAAGTAGTGTTGTCCCCAAGCTTGGGTACCTCCCTTCCCTTTTTCTGGCCCAGCTGAGTCTGCACTGGTGTCGCATTGGCATGTCCCTGCAGGGCAGCATGCTGGGATAAGTGCAGGTTCCGGGTTCCGGGTCTCATTCTCACTCTGTGTCCTAAAGCATGTGACCTGGGCATGTACCTTAGACAGTGAGCCTCCTCTGTAAGATGTCTGCAGGTGTGAAGGCACCTCTGCCTCTCCCTCCCAGTAGATGTCATGGGAACACCTGCCTCTAGGTGTGAGTCCTTGCTGATGGCTCTGCCTCCTTCAGAGGGGCAGACACAGGTCCATAAAACATGCTTGTGGAGTTTAACATTTTACATGTCCCCTCACCCCCTAGTAAGGAAATGGAACACATGGAACACTGCTGACACTTGGAATCTCTATGTGCTTCATCACACACACACACACATATATTTTTAATCCTCACCTGAGGATGTTTTTCCATTGATCTCTAGAGAGAGAAGGGAAGAGAGGGAGGAGGGGGAGAGAGAAAGAGAGAGAGATAGATAGATAGATAGAGAGACATCAACCAGCTGCCTCCTGTATGCACCCCCAACTGGGGCTGGGGATCAAACCTGCAACCGAGGTACATGCCCTTGACTGGGAATTGAACCCGTGACCCTTTGGTTTGCAGGCCGACACTCTCTAACCACTGAGAAACCCAGCCAGGGGTTTTGTGACCTGTCTCGGTGTAGGAGATAAAGTTCTAGGGGGCTGTACTTGAGCTTCTTCGGATTCTGACTTTCTGGATGATCTTGAGAAAGTCCACACAACATCTTACCCCTTTACTACTATACAAACAAATGAGCTAATTTGGGAGCTGCTGAAAAGAGTGTTCTTCATTGTGTGTTTCTCTTGCATGGGTCCTTGGTAATGTGTGTTTCTCGGTGAGAGCTGTGGGGAGCAGCAGTCCCAGCGGGGCAGCCTGGTGGGCATGGCATGGCGTCCTGGCAGGCTCTCACCCCTCGGATGCTGTCTGCACTGTGGGGCTCAGGCCTACTTTCTGTTCCCAGCAAACTCGGAAAGCAGCATGATATAGCCCTGTGTAGAGGAACTTCAACTCTTTGAAATATATTTTCTAAAAAAGCTCAGGTCGGATAGTGCAGAGGTCTTAGACATTTTCTAACGTAAGTGTAAACAGCTCTGCCATGACTGCCTTGCTGATGGGGCCACATGGGCAGAGACTCAGGGAGATCAGCTATGCAGGTGGTCATAACATCTCAAGAATTGGGGCTGAGGTGGTCAATGCATTTTACATAAGGCTTTTACCTATGGGGGTCTCATTTGATCCTGTTGAGACGGTTTGTCAGATTAAATGCTTGTGCATAGGCATCTGGCCAATGTGTGTGGTGCTAGGCTCTGAGCCAGGTCTTCCGGCCTTGCTCTTGTTCTGGAAACTGACCCTCATTCTGGCCCAGTCTGTTTATGTGAGAGAATTTGAGCTTTAGTGAGAAAACTGTGTGGTAAGTCTTCAACTTGGGGAGTTGTCTGTATCCTTTCTTGTCTGGTAAGTTTCATAGCCTTGACCTCAACAGTTAATGCTTAATGGTAGTACTTCTGCTAGACTTTAATGCTGTTTTAATAAAAACAACTATAACTTATGATTTTAAAAATCAATGTGTTTTTGTTTGGTCTTGATGGTCCTGTTCCCATTTCAGCGAGCCATGTCCTCCAACCGATGAGCAATTGGTTGCAGGGTAAGACCAAGACTTCTCCACCGTCTTTCTGTCCTGATTTCTGCTACTTCTCTTCTTGTAATTGTGCTTAACTCCTGATTCCCCTCAATGTTGAAGAATGACTAATGAGGCACACAGGCTCTCGCTCGGATCCCACGGCCCCTGCCCTTCTCCACTTGGAGTTACCTATTTCACATTACCCAAGAAGCCTACGCAAGGTTGGCTGGCACCAGGGAGACTTGTGGGACCAGGCTTGCACTCAGACCTCCTCCTCCAGGCAGGCACCAGTAGCCCTGTGAGGCCAGTAGGTGAGCAGAAGCAGGGTTTCTTATCTCCCTAGCTTACTGCCTGCCCCCGCCCCCCAAGAGAGATCCTTGATTAGTCTCTTTGCCTTCATTTCTCAGAGGGGTTTAGTGGGGGCCTCTTTCCCAAGGGCTGGGTGTTAAATGTAATGCTTGAGGTTAGATGGTATTGTGTGTGCCCTTTAGAAGCAAAATGCACCCATGGAGTTTATCTGGCACTTCCTCAGGAGGGCATGAATAAGGTGTGACCCTCCTGTCCCCCTGACATGATATCCTCTCTGGGCATTGAAGCATCTTTGAGCCCCCCATCACCGGAGGGTACAGAGTCAAGCTCCCGTCCATGCTGTCCCTCCCCACTGTTTTGACCAGGCCGGAGATCAATCCCTGCTCCTGACTATCTCAGAAGGAGAGGAAGGTCTTGGCCTGGTTTCTAGCTGGGCTGGTTCATCTTCCTAAAATTTTTAAATTTCTAAGTTATTCCCGGAATGTTAGTTTTTGTAACAGCTATTTTATTGTGTGCAAAACTTACTAGGCCTTTTACCATCAAAACAAGGGAAAGAGATTTTTGTAAATTTTGGAAACAACAAACAAATATTGTCATTTGTTTTTGTTTCAATTTGCTATTTATAACAGTTATTCCCCTACTCCCCAAATCTCATGATATAACTATGCCTTTGTGTATATTATATCAGCAGACACACTATATAAAGGATAAAGCCACTCAAGTGTTTTTTCTCATCATAAGTGTTAATATTGCAGTGGTGTGTGGATTTCTCTGTAGGCTAGACTCACTCAGACAAGCACCATCCCCTTGGCCGCCCTAGAGGGCCTTCCCTGATGGCCATGTAGGGCAGGGTGGCTTTTAACTTCAGCAGCACATGGCTTCCTGGTTGGCTCCTTCTGCAGATGCTGGCCTCTCTGGTCTTGGGAGGAAGCATTTTTTATTTGGCTCTTGGAAGGATGCTTTCGGATTTGGATATTTATAGATATTCAGGAGACCGCTGCTTGCCTCTGAATCTCAGGACCCATCCCACAGCCAAACTAGCTTAGGTTCCTGGACTAGTGGCTGAGGCCAGGGCTGAGGCTCAAGTGTGGGTCTTGATGACAGAGCAGAGGTTTTTAATGGAGATATTTAGATATCACAGGAAAAAGTGAACTTTCTGGAATAGTGGGAGGTTGTTTTCTATACCTTATCTTTGTCCCTCGGTGGCAGAGTGGAGGAGCTATTTGTTTAGATAGGATGTGAAATGTTGGCACTGGATCAATCATTAGGGCAGAAGTGTTTGTTTATCACCCTGAGCCCTCTCTCACCGACAGACGAGTTATAGGGCAGAGTGAGCGATTTAGAGTTTTTAAAGAAAGCATATAATGCCTCTGGTCTAAGACACTGGAATATTCCATCTCTGGTGTAATCACTCCGGAGAGCGGTATTCCCGGGAAGAGAGACCCATAATAGGCAGCTGAGGACTTAGGCAATGGGTCCCCCATTTCCCAGACTGGCTCTGACGACCTCTCTGACAACCTTGGTGTCAAAAGGGCCGAGTGCAGTCCTGACAGTACAAGAGCCAAACCCTCTGCATCTTGTTTGTCTGCGGGCCACAGAGCAACCTAGGACACCTGGAGGACCATGTCAGTCCCGGGGAAGGCTGGAAGCCAGTGTGACACCCTCCCTCCAAGGCCTTGGCAGTTCTAGGCTCCCCTCCTACAGACTTGGAAAGAGTTCTCTAGCTGCTTGTCTTGCAGTTTGAGTGCTGGTTGATCAGCAAGGTTCTTGTTGCAGGGTGGCTCCAAGTACTTAAAAATTTTTTTTAAATTGATTTTTAGAGAGAGAGAGAGAGAGAGAGAGGTTGATTGATTTATTGTTCACATACTTATGCATTCATTGGTTGCTTCTTGTATATATGCCCTGACGGGGGATGGCACCAGCAACCCTGGTGTATCAGGAGGATGCTCTAACCAACTGACTACCCGGCCAGGGCTCAAGTCACTCTTACATTAGATGGTGAGCCCTGCCATGTGTAAGGAGCCCAGAGCAAATGACCCCCTTCCTAGATCCTTTTATCCCAGAGTCATTTCTTATTTCAGAGTTCAGCTGAAGCAGCAGTTTGTAGCAGACCATCCTTTTTCTTCAGAAAATGGAGAGGTATGGTAGCAGTCGCTCCCCTCCCCCACATGAGGTCGTCCAAGAGAAAAGCATCTAGTATGGTGCCTGGTTCACTGTAGCTCCTTAGCAGAGGCCCAGGATGCACGCTGGAGTGTCTACCTTTGATGGCCTCCTGGGCTCCTGGGGCCTGTGCCCAGGGGCAGAGCATGGCCCTGGGGGAGCTGGAGCCACTTTCCCCAACATAGTGCGCTCTCCCAACATGGATGCTAGAAGTGCTTTCTGTGGGTGGAGAGATGAGCACAGGACTTGTCTCTCTTCTGGCTCCAGCTCAGACACGGTGCGTCAGTGTTTCTAAAGTGAAGGCCCCCCGCGAGCCTGGGTTCTGAGATAAGAGTCTGCACGGCACCCCCCAGCACTCCTTCCTGTGGTGACGCTCCCTTATCTGGATCCCCGTGGGCAGGAAGGAACTGGGTTGCCAATAAGAAAACACAAGTGTACAGAGCACCTGGCAAAGGGTGAACTCCTATCCAAATCTGCTCTCACCCACGCCACAGCCATTCCTGCTCTGTGGTACCCAGTCCTGTGCATCCTATGTCCACATCATATCAGTGGGTCTGGATATCTCGCTCATCTTTTAAAGTTTCTTCCCTAATAAAAACTGGAAGGTTAAGTGTTCAGGATAAGGAAGGGTCAGGAAGCCATGCTGAGAAAGGTAATTAGCAGTTAGTGCTGTACTCTTGCCCTTCACACAGCACTGAGGGGGTGGGGTTCCTGGGAGTTGAGAGGTGCAGCCTGGTAAACCTGGACCTGGTGGTAGAGCCCCCCCACCCCCCACCCGTGAGCCTTAATGAGCAGCTCCTCGGGGCAGCGCCAGCTTCAGCTGTTATTCCTCCCTTTACCTTTAAAAGCAAACTGCAACCTGTTTCTCTCCTGAATTTCATAGAGCATGCCAAGAAATTGACAGCATGTGCCTTCAGTCTATGCTTCTCATGCCTTTTACCTTGTAATTTTGGTGATTTTATGTCCCAAATCTTGGGGATTGCTTCAGAAGGCAACTGATAGAAGCTTCCAGGTCATCAGTGGGGGGTCAAGCCACTTTGTGCACCAAGCTGCCATATACTGAGATCTTATCCCCTGAGGGCAGCTGGTGTGGGGCTGTGACACTTTATTCACTTATTTCCACTCTACCTCTTTTTAATTTTAAGGTTTTCAGATGTCATTCTGGCAACAATTTTGGCGACCAAGTCTGAAATGTGTGGCCAAAAATTTGAACTGAAGATCGATAACGTGCGTTTTGTCGGGCACCCGACACTCCTGCAGCATGCGCTGGGGCAGGTAAGGGCCTCCCTGAGGATATAAGGCTCTCCCTGGGCAGGCATGGCCATCCTGGGCCCTCAGGGAACTGTGGCTGCCACTGGCTCCAGTAAAGATAGCAAGTGTGTGCCAGACCTCACAGCTACCTGCCGTCAGCTGCACATCACAGATCCTGAGGGACCCTCGGAGAAAGAGACAGGCATGCTTGCCCCAGAGTTTCAGTCCCTGCCCCTAGCTTTGGTAAAGTGGCACAAGCATTTCTTCTTACTTGTTAAGTGATCTCATGGCCAATATTATTATTAATTTAGCTCTTACTGTTGTGCTGAATCCTTCATATACATTCTCTGGTGAATGAATGTTACAGTGCTGGAGTTTTAACAAGACAGAATGCACTGTGACCCAAAGGAATCTGCACACCAGAACCTGCCAGTCAGTCCTTTGCACACAGGCAGAATCAGCAACAGCATCACTCAGATTCTGAAGGACTTTGATATGACAGTGTAAGATTTAGCTCCATTTATATGATCCAGAAATATGAGGGTCTGTGATGTGGTCCTCAGATATCCTCCATGACCAAGCTGGTGGAAAGAGCTGAGGTGGTTGGAGGTGCTAAGACATCAGACGGTCTGGGTGCACCTGGCCCCAAGGACAGCACCATCCCTCCTCACTGAAACCCCTGCAGGTAGGGAGTAGATCCCTAACTGTGACCTGTGGGTGATGGAGGGGAGATTTGGCAGCCTGCTAGCAGTCCTGGGCGTATAAAACTAGAGTGACAGGCAGGATGGTGAGGAGCTAGTTGGATAGCCCAGGGAGAGCTGGAGCCCTGGCCTCTTATGCCCCCTAGTGGCAACACTTGAAATCAGCGTGGTGTTTGTGACGGGTTGGCTGGCTGCCAGAGCAGCAGCCCTGTCTCTGCTGGCCCTTACCTGCCCAAGAAATGGACAGAATGTGTCTTCAGTCTATGCTGGGGCATTGTTCTTTCTCTCTCTCTCAAATATATTTTATTGATTTTTTTTAACAGAGAGGAAGGGAGAGAGATAGAGAGTTAGAAATATTGATCACTCAGGAAAAGCAGGGGCGGGTGGGGGTGAGGTGGAAAGATCAACCAAAGGACTTGTATGCATGCATATAAGCATAAGTGATGGGTGTAGACAACAGGGGGTGAGGGTGAGGGCAGGATTGGGGGGATAAGGGGACATTGGGGGGATAAGGACACATTTGTAATATCTTATTCAATAACGGGGAAAGAAAAAGAAACATCGATCAGTTGCCTCCTGCACACCCCCCATTGGGGATGTGCCCGCAACCGAGGTACATGCCCTTGACCGGAATCGAACCTGGGACCCTTCAGTCCACAGGCTGACTCTCTATCCACTGAGCCAAACCGGTTAGGGCGTCCTCTCTCTTAATCATCCTGAGTACTTATCATACCTGGCAGAGATGGCCTCAAGAACTCAGGTGGACACTGGGGATGGCAGTGGGGAGGATGTCTGGGCAGAGAACACTCCATCTGCTTGGGCCCCTCTCCATCATGTCTCCTCTGGGCACTTCAGCCCCCTTCCATTGACTGGGGCAGCCTCATCATGCTGGGCCAGAGCACTGACCTTCCTGTTATCTCAGTGGGGACTCATCTGTCCATGCCGTCACCACTAGCTCATGCAGAGGTGCTGGCCGATTCTCCGAGACCATGGGCTCTGTTTTCTTTTGGTTCTGCTGTATTTTGGAACCTTTCCCCAATGCTTAAAGTAGAATAGCTCTAAACAGCTCTTCTTGGGAAGTTGGCTCTCATTCAATAGAATTATGCGTCTTTTACAGGTCTCCAAAACAGACCCGTCCCCGAAGAGAGAAGCTCCCACCATGATTCTTTTTAATGTGGTGTTTGCACTAAGGGTGAGTGTTTATAGGTGGCTGAAGAGCATGGGCAAATCAGGAAGGAGGGTAAGGGAGGAACAGCAGCTCATTTCCGGTGAGTGTGTCATTGACTCAGCTTAGCCTGCAGTGGGCATGGCATTGGACTGCTCTTACTGTTTTCCTCTCTTTTTAAAAAAATAAAATACACCTAACAAAATTTACCATTTTAACTGTTTTAAAGTATATGGTTTGGTGGCATCTTGTAACACTGTTGTGTAACCATCCCCATTATCTAGTTTCAGAACGTTACTGTTACCCTAAAAGGAGCTCAGCTATTCCCTTTCTCTCCCGCCCTCTCCCAGCCCCAGAAACCACCAATCTACTTCCTGTCTCTGTGGATTTACCTGTTCTGCATGTTTCATATGGATGTGGTCCTACAATATGTGACCTTTGGTGTCCGGCTTCTTTGGATGAGCGTAGTGATTTTGAGATTATCCCTGGTCATGTATATCAGTACTTTATTCCTTGTTACGGTCAAATCGTATTCCATTGTATGAATAGACCATACTTTGTTTATCCCTTCATCTGTTGAGGAACATTTGAGTTTTTTTCACCTTTTTCTATTATGAACAATGCTGTTAAGGATATTTGTATACAAATTTTTGTGTGGAGACATGTTTTCATTTCCCTTGCGTATATACCCAGGAGTGGAATTGCTGGGTCATATGATAACTGTGTTTACCCATTTGAAGAACTGCCAGACTGTTCTCCACATCGCTGCACCATTTTACATTCCCAGGTGCAATGCACGAGGGTTCCAATTTCTTTACAGCCTGACAACACTTGATATTTTCCATTTTTTAAATAATGAAGCCTAATTGCTCTCAGTGTTGTCTGAAGTTGTGTTTTTATTAATTACAGGAAAAATTTTTTCAGTAAAGCTGTCAAAATATAAGGGATCCAAGTAAACATAAAAGGCATCCCTGGGTAAGGACTGGCTTATATTATTAATGGAATACCTAGGAAATTTATATCCAGTGACTGTTCGATAATGGCATTCCTCTGAAATGTACCAGTATCAGTTTTCACCAAAGAACCCAGAAGTTCTTTCTGGCTGGGCACGTGATCTGCACGACAGCTTTTGTGCAGAAATAGGAGTGAGAAAGTGATTGGATTTCAGTGACAAGGAGCAGTGATGCCCTGAAAACCTTCGGAGTGGCAGGAATGAGACTGAGTAGAAAGGGAACCTATAAAATTAGGTGCCATTCTGAGTCTCAAGGTGTGTTTTTTATGGTGGCTTTTTTTTGGTATGGAGACTACATGTCTCACTCTGAACAGTTCAAAATCAAAATAATGCTGGAGAAGAGATCCATGAGAATGAAGCTTAATTTTTACATTTTTACCTGTTGATAAAGACAACTACAAGTGAGAACAAAATGATTTGTTAGTGGTGGGGACATGAAGTTCCAAGAGATCTTCCTACTTTATACACTTCTGTGGTATTAGCATCTTCACGATGTTCTTGTATTACTTATATAATTACATAATACAAAACCATCCACAAAGAGAACTCAAATTAAGTAAAAAACAAGCAAACAAAACCCATGACGAATGCTGTCCACCTGTCAGTCCTGATAGCCCCTGTGGGATGGGCAGTGAGGAGCAGCCACAACCCCACCCCAGATGTTGCCGGCAGGCTCTCATCCCTGGGCAGCATGTGATAGCAACATGTAAAGCAGTCAAGCAAGCACGCATATTATAGAGTCTTGTAAAGATTTTTATAATAATAATTAGACTGGAAGTGATTCTGGTCTCCAGTAGTTGAGGAGAGGTTGGAAAAGGTGGTGGTCATTACACACTGGCATGTTTGTGGCCATTGAAGATGAGAAGTGGGGACGGCATCAGAACCTGGAGGAGTGTAGATTACCACAGGTAGTGTAGGACTTCAGATAGCATGGGCCATCCTGATGAAGAGTGGGAGGGATTTTAAATAATGTAAAGAGTTGATATTTTAGGGTAGACAAGTTTCAGTAGTCGTGTAAAAATGTATACTTTTTTTATTTTGAAAAGTTTTAAACCCTGAGTTAGTGACAATAGTTTGATAAACCTATACCCCTGTCTCTGAGATTCCACAACTATCACCTTTGCACCTTGGTTCCATCTACCGCCGCCCCCCCTTACATTGTCACTTATTTATTTCAAGACAAGCCCTAGCCTCATGTCTGTTCACTCCTACATACTTCAGAAGGCATCTCTATAAAAATATGGGCATTTATTTTATACCAGAATACCCTTTTCACACCTGAGAAAATTTGCAATAAGTTGGTATAAACTAGTATGTGGTCCATTGAAGCTTTCCCCAATTGCCTCAGCATTTTTGCTGGTTGTCTTGTCTGAAGCAGGATTAAGACCCAGCCTGCACAAACATGTGTTGTCGGGTCTCTAGATCTCTGTCTGTCTAGGACTCTCTCCCCCATTTGTCCCATCACATGTTCTATGTTTGGACTCATCTTATTGTGCAGACAATCAGACTTGCTCTCTGTCCCTGTATTTCTTGCAAACTAAATGTTTGATTACATTTGGGTGTGAGTTCTGGGGACAAGAAAGTCTCACAGGTGATGCCCTGAACCTCATGCTGCCTCACAGCACGTGTGGCGAAAGTGTGGCATTTCCAAGAGCTCCCACTCAGGGCTGACGTGTCCTAGGTGGTAGTTCTCTCAGTGTGGCCACACAGCCTCAGGCTCTGCAGGCATCTTGAACAGTGTCTGGCCTGTGCAGCCAAACAGGCACCCTGGCACACTCCATCAGTGCTGGTCCTTGGGCCTCGCCTGGGCAAGCACCACCTTGCGTGTCTGGGAATGTGGGACAAACAGGCCCTGAGCCTCGGACAGCACTGTCCTGCCCCAGCCAGTGGGTCTTCTAGCAGAGTCATGTTCTCAGGTGGGACTTGCTTACTCTTCAAGGGAATGACCATGTGCTCAAGATCATTCTCCTACCTCTCCTTTGCTCTGGGAGTATTTCCACACAGGTTCTTCTGGAAGGGTTTTGAGGCAATTGTATATACTCTAAGCCAGTGGTTCTCCACCTTCCTAATGCCTCGACCCTTTAATACAGTTCCTCATGTTGTGGTGACCCCCAACCATAAAATTATTTTCGTTGCTACTTCATATCTGTAATTTTGCTACTGTTATGAATCGTAATGTAAATATCTGATATGCAGGATGTATTTTCATTGTTACAAATTGGACATAAATAAAGCATAGTGATGAATCACAAAAACAATATGTAATTATATATGTGTTTTCCGATGGTCTTAGGCAACCCCTGTGAAAGGGTCGTTCGACCTCCAGAGGGGTCTCGACCCACAGGTTGAGAACCGCTGCTCTAAAACCAGACCCTGCAGTTTCATAATCTTGCAGGGGACACTGTTGAGGGGATGCCCTTGACATGAAGGGACAGGGCTGCTGCCAGTGGTGGGCATAGCATGGGAACAACCTTTGGTTCTCTCCCCAGCGCAGATATGCTGCCAGGTGTGAGTTCTGTTTGTGAACATGACATCTACTAGTTTAGAAAATCTCTCCCAGCTCCAGGGATGAAGGTGTTTACTGTGGGCAGGGCGCTCTCTGGCAGATAAACGAGAGGGAGGCAGCACCAGGGGTTCTAATCAGCAGCACCATTCTCCCTCTTCCTTTTCTCACCTCCGCCCCATAGGATGACTCAGCTGCCCTGTGGGCCTCCTGAAGCACTGAGTCATGGCTGGCCAGTTATCTGCTCCAAGGAGCATCTTCACAGACCCCACAGCCACCTGCTCCACCCTTGGCCTGGCCCGACTGCAGCCCCTGATAGTTTCTAGAGTTGACACAGGGGATGGGAGTGGCTGGAGCCAGCTGGCTTCTCCTGTTAGCCAAGGTCATGTCTGCTAGAAAGAGCCACTTAACCTTGAGGATAGAAAATGTTCAGTGAACAGTTAGCCTGGTGCTTCTGTTTATTGTACTTTGTGTCCCTATAAGAGGGGCTGTGTGACTAAATTCTACCATAGCCAGTTGGTCCACCAACAGTCAGCAGTACACTGGTGACTGCAAACACTGCCAGGGATTTTGCTGTGGGTAGTCTGTTTTGAGCACCTGACATTTCTGACTAATTGGTGATGGGGGTGCCACTGTTGTCCTTTCTTAGATGGGAGCCCTGTGACACAGCAGGTGGTTGGACAGATCTGTACCTTCCATTATCCCACTGGCTGCCTCTGTCATGCCCAGAGTGGATGTCTGACCTGTGCCCTACCTTCCTGGATGGCCCTGGTGCCCTGCAGTGTGAGAGCCTGCCTCTACTTCAGCGGTTCTCAACCTGTGGGTTGCGACCCCCTTTGGTGGTCGAACGACCCTTTCACAGGGGTCACCTAAGACCATCCTGCATATCAGATATTTACATTATGATTCATAACAGTAGCAACATTACAGTTATGAATAATTTTATGGTTGGGTCACAACATGAGGAACTATTTAAAGGGCCAGAAGGTTGAGAACCACTGCTCTACTTGTTAGAAATGCCTGGTTCCCTACCCCCCACACTCGGTGACCCCACGGAGCCATCTCTGTGCTGCCATCCAGGCAGCTATCCCCAAGATAGGATGCTGAGTGGACTGGCGTTTATGGACAGCTCCTAGAGGGGACACAGGAAATTGGTGATAGTGGCACCTGGAGAGGAGCCTGGGGAAAGGAGTAGAGGATTCTTTCATGGTTTCAGTGTTTGCTTTGTATGTGTATTATCTGAGTACATAAGCTGCATTTGAGTCAAGCTTGGCTTCTCCCACAGGCCAACGCGGATCCCTCGGTGATCAACTGCCTGCACAACCTTTCCCGACGAATCGCCACCGTGCTGCAGCACGAGGAGCGCCGCTGCCAGTACCTCACTCGGGAGGCCAAGTTGATCCTCGCGCTGCAGGACGAGGTGTCTGCTGTGGCCGATGGTGAGTGCGGCAGGCGTCTCTCCTACCCAACAGCACAGAGCAGGCAGTGTTTCCAGGCAGGACACGGCTCTGGTTTTGAAGACATGGAAGCCGAGGTGCTGAGTTCCATCCTCCTCCGCCTGGACTGAGCAGGCCCCAGTGCAGAGGGAGACTCTCCGGGGCACAGCTTAGACCCCTTTCCCGGCCTGATGTGCTGACACTGATTCCTTAGCCTGAAGCATTTTCCTCCCCACAAATGCTCATGGTGGCTCTTCACGCAGGTCTTCACTGCCTGCTGGCCCTGGTGCTGCTGGCCCTGCGTCCCAGGCTGGGGGACCTGTGGAGGGGCCAGCGGGAGTAGTGAGCTAGCAGCTAGCAGGGTGGGTGCTTTTCAGTTCTTTGCTTTCAACTGAATTGAAGGAGGACCTAATGGAGTTATCAACTGGAAAGTTATTAAAAATAATTTTAAAAATATATTTTTATTGATTTCAGAAAGGAAAGGAGAGGGAGAGAGAGAAAGAAATATCAATGTTCCTGTACACCCCACACTGGGAATTGAGCCTGCAACCTGGGCATGTGCCTTGACTGGGAATTGAACCGTGACCTCCTGGTTCATAGATCAACTCTCAACCACTGAGCCACACCGGCGGGGCTATTAAAAATAGATACATTACCATGTGGTGTTTGACATACCGTCAACATTTGAAATTGTGGAGAGAAACCTACCTGTAACAGACCCCACCTCCATCCTCTCAGGTCAGCACCTTTGTAACAAAAGCAAAAACCAAGAACACAGTTGAAGGTGAGCCCAGTCTGATTTTAGCAGTAAGTGAAAGCAGCGGTCACCATGCACGAACTATCCCACGCAGGTGCATTTTTAGTAAAAATTTACTTTTTATGTTTGACAATGAAGTTTTATTTCTTAAAACATTTTCTTTAGAGTCTGTGACTTTGTCACAGGAATTTTAAAAATTCAATTTAGTACAAATAGTTTTGTTAGATATTTATGAGACAGGATTAATGAAAAAGACTTTCAGTCAGAAAAAGAAATAATATTAGCATAAATGTGGGGGAAAGAGTGGGATGAGGCCTGGAACTACATGGTCACTGAGGCAGAAGATGACGCTGGTGGTCCGAGGTAGTCTTCAGGAGCGTCAGGGAAAAGCGTCAGGTGGGGCCAGTGCTGAAGTTTAAATACAAATATTTCATATAAAGACAGTTGAACAAATCAGCCTGAGTATAATTTTAATTCAGCTGGATGCCAAAATTTTATGAGAAGCAGTTGTGAGCCCTGGCCGATGTGGCTCAGTTGTTTGGGCGTCACCCTGTGCACTGAGAGGTTGCCAGTTCGATTCCTAGTCAGGGCACATGCCCGGTTACAGGCTCTATCCCTGGTAGGGGACGTACAGGAGGCAGCCAATCCATGTTGTGCTCTCACATTGATGTTTCTCCCTCTCCCTCTCCCTTCCTCTCTCTCTAAAAAATCAATAAACTATTAAAAAAAGAAGAAACAGCCTGGCCGGCATGGCTCAGTGGTCGAGCATTGACCTCTGCACCAGGTCGTGGTTCGATTCTCCGTCAGGGCACGTGCTCAGGTTGCGGGTTTGATCCCCAGTGTGGAGTGTACAGGAGCCAGCTGACCAATGATTCTCTCTCATCATTGATGTTTCTATCTCTCTCCTCCTTTCTGAAATCAATAAAAATATATTAAAAAAGGAAGAGGAAGAAGCAGTTGTGAATATCCTGATGATTGGTTTAAAGTTACTGAAAATTCTTTTTAAGTTGTTTTTAAAGGTATTTTAACTTGTTTTTAAAGGTATTTTCTATTCTAGCCTGTGTGGAGTTTCCTTGCTTTGGAGATTCTAAGTCCTTCTGTGTCTCAATTCTTGCAGCAAATGATGGTCCGCAGTCTCCGTTCCATCACATCCTGCCCAAGTGCAAGCTGGCCAGGGACCTCAAGGAAGCTTACGACAGGTAGGACAGGCGAGCAGCACACCATGCACTTCCTTCTCGTGGGCCTTACTGCCTGAGCGGTGTCTGATAATGGGACTCCCTCTGCTGGGTGCTGTTCTCCTGTTGTGCCACTGAAATGGGCGTGAGAGGGCAGAAAGTGCCAACCCCTTTGGAACAGTCACCTCCATACTTAACCAAAAGTGAGCCTGAAGTTACGCATGAGAACCTGAAAGTGCATTTGAGTCCTCAAATGCAAGGTGATTTTACTGAGCCTGGCACAGCGCCAAGTTCTGGGTCCACCTTCATTAGGTGCGTGTCGCTGTCACCTTTCACCCATGAGGAAACAGGCTCAGAGGATGGAGAGGGGCTGGCCCTGCCCTGGGAAACTGGAGGCCTGGGACACTCAGTGTATGAGTGCAGCAGGTGTTGGAGACACAGCGGAAACCTCACAGTTGTTCGGATTATATTTGTGGCTCAGCACCTACTCTCTTAAACGTGGATAAGCAAAGAACTTATTTTCTTTTTAAAGGGTGTCCTGTGGCTCTGGCGCTGGGTCTGCAATGGGGGATGGAGGTTTGGTGGGGGCGAGTGCCCAAGGGACAGCCCACCTGGCAGTTTTGCCTTCCCTGTCCTGCACCGGCCGGTTGGTTCACAGGGTACCACCCAGCACCAGGCAGCAGCATGTGGGTGCAGGCTTCTTCAGTGCCTCTTTCTGCCTTCTCTTCCTCCCTTATTCCCTTACATTTCCACATTCTCCTTTGCGAGTGCGGCAGCTCAGCGCTCCCACCTGGCCTTCCCAGGCTGCACTCCATTCCACTGGACTCTTCTCCCACTGGAGATGGTCCTGATGTAAGAACTGTGGCTGCGACACCATGTGTCATCGAAGCCCAGAGACAGCGGTTTGTCCAGGATCCTTTCCCTTTTTTATGTTAATTTATTCTGATTTTACTAATATTAAAGACATTTAGGAAATACAGAAAAGTATAAACAAAATGAAAGTCATCTATAATTTTATACACAGTGATAATCACTATGAACATTTTGGTAATTTTTTTAAACTTGATTTTTTGAAAGGTCACATATTCATCAAGACTGAAATTTAGAGCTTTGGTTTTGTCTCCTGCTGCACTCCGACCAGCTTCTCATCCTGGCGGCAGGATGCATTTCAGCGACAGCCTTCCTCACAGATGGGTTTACCGTAAGGTGCATACAGGCAAATAGTGATCCACTGTCTCCCTTTACATACTGGCAGCACACTGGGCATCCCGTTAGCCTGTTGCCTTCTCAGATAACAGTATACCTTAGGCTTCTGCCTGTGCTGATGAATAAGAACTTTTGGGTTTTTTGCTGCATAGTGAGCCAGCCCCCTCCCTTGGGCATTTATTTGGCTTCACGTTTTGCTGCTGTAAGACATGCTGCCCACCCACATGCATGTGTGATTGTGCATCTGTACCCACACATCCGTAACATAAATTCCTGAAAGTGGGGTTGCTACGGCGCATAGGTAAAGTGCATTTCCCTCTGTGGAGTATGTGCCTCGATCTACACTCCCACCAGAAGCACGTGAGATACCTGTCAACAGCGTCTTGGTGAGCGTCTTGGTTTTAACCAATGTAAGGGCAGAGCATAGTGTCTCAATGCAGCTTATGCACATCTTCACGTGTTTACACCATCCCTGTCTTCTTTTCTGGCAGCTCTCTGCTCAGACCCCCTGCTTGTTCCGTTGGGAGGTGTACGTGCCTTTTCAAGGAGGGGGAGTTGCCCTTTGTGAGGGCAGCGTGTGCTTCCCTTGTCTTTGTTTTGGTGACCCCTGGGTGTGGCTTCTGGCTGCTAGAGAACATCAGGGCAGCCTGAACTGCCCGTGCTGAGTGATGGTTTTGGTTTCTGATCCCGCCTACTTCGGAGAACTTGACCCAGAATGGGATTTTTGGTCTTGCAGTCCGACCCTGTCTTTGTATTCCACATGATCACATTGGAGTGTTCCCTGCGGTAAAAGAATTGTCGTCCTCTGGTCTTGGATTGACTGGTATCAAAATCCCTTTCTAGGCCCTGCCAGTGTGGCTCAGTTGGTTGAGTGTTGTCCCATGCAACCGATTGGTGTTTCTCTCTCATTGATGTTTCTCCCTTTCCCTCTCCCTTCCTCTCTCTCTCTAAATTAAAATTTTAAAAAACAGTTTAAAAAGTCCCTTCCTTGGAAACTGCTGTTGCCTTACTCTGAGTGGGAATTTGCATGCCTCAACTCGGATTATGCTTGATATTAGCCAAAAGGCCAAGAAGTGATCTCAGCTAGGGTTCGACTACAGCAAAATTCAGGCTAACCTGGAATTAAAATGATAAGCAAACAGGAGAAGACTTTATATTCCTGAAGAAAGAAGGGACTGTGATTTCTTATATTTGAACTGCACTGGAAAGCTGGAGGGATGAGATCCTGGATTGTGTGTCAGGGCCTGCTGCAGCTCAGAGCCTGAGGCAGCCAGTGCCCCCTAGTGGACATCAGTTTGAAAGAGGACAGGAATTGGTTTTTGGCAAAAACAGCTTCCAGAATCCACTGTCCAGCACTTAGCTTCCCTCCTTTAACCCAGGCATCTGTTGTTAGTGCCCAGGATTGAATTTCCTCCAGGCGAACCCCGCAGCCCACCCTGGTCCTAGACTTCACTTTGACCTGTCCTGGTTCTGGCCCCATCCCCAGGAGAGCCAGGGGCAGTTGTGTCCACCCTTGTACCTGTCCCAACCTGGCAACAGCAATGGCCCCCAGGAGCCTCCCTGGCCTGTGGCCTGTGGCCTTCCAGGTCCATGTTGGCCCTGAGGGTCTGGCCTGGCCTGCCCTCACTCCTGCAGAATGGACTGCACCTTGGAGCTAGGAAAGGGAGGCTGAGTTTCTATTACTGATGAGGCAGCATAACAACATAGATAGCGACTTCCTGACAGATCCCTGGGGAAGGGTTTCTCAGCGCAGAAATGAGAGACAGGAAGCTGTGAGACTTAGCAGTGTTGGAGATTGGGATGGGACTTTTCAAAGGAATTGCTCTGAGTTTGGTGTTTTAATTAAAATTCAGGGACCCAGCCAGAGTGGCTCAGTGACTGAGCATCAACCCATGAACCACGAGGTCACGGTTTGATTCCTGGTCAGGTCACATGGTTGCAGGCTCGATTCCCAGTAGAGGTGTGCAGAAGGCAGCCCATCAGTGATTCTCTCTCATCATTGATGTTTCTATCTCTCTCTCCCTCTCCTTCCCTCTCTGAAATCAACAAAAATATATTTTAAAATAATAATAAAATCCGGGGGTATGGTGTGGCTGAGCCGGCCTGGCGGCCCCTTGCCCAAGGACCTGAGTGTCTGTGAATGTAGGCTGGCAGTGTGAATCCCTCCAGAGGCCCCGACTGTCCTAGCGCCTGTGTCTTCCTGTGGAACTTGGGGACCTCAGTGATAGCATCCCATTCATTTTGTGTGACCGTCAGGTTGTGTCTCCCACGAGATCAGGGACATCCCTTCACTTTTCCTGACGAGCCCTGTGCTTGGCGTGTGGAGAAGCACAGCTCACCCACTAGTAGTTGAAAGGACCAGTAATAGGAGTCACGTCTCTGTGGATTCCATGGACTTGAAGTGTTTGCCTGACTGGTCCTCCATCGTTAACTGGGCCTGTGGTGGGGTCTGTGAGGCTGGGGACTCTGCCCGCTCCTCACTGCCTCACACTGCTGCCTGTCCAGAGCAGATATGGGCCCACAGACACCTCCACGAACATCCTGGGAGTTCTAGTTCCTATTTCCACGAAGTGGACCTGCATAGAAACTTTTGTTTTCAATTTCAAGGTGGGCCTTTCGGAGCCCACCCGACCTCTTGGATCAGGTGCAGGGTCCCACTGCATGCAAGGGGAAGCCGGCTGCGTGAGACAAAGGGACCAGAAGGTCAGGGCTAGCTTGAAGGTCTCTGGCCTGGGGCAGGAAGAAGGGTGACCAAAGGATGAGTCAGTTGTTAGCCAGAGGTTAGGAACTGAAAGTC